TGCCAACTTAAGAATGTGTATCTTTAGATCAAAGGAGGAACTTCCTCCACTTTGTCTGGTAACGCCCACACCATAAGATATTCAGTTCATGTTCAGTTATAATAAAGATGACTTTTTAATGATTAAGCTAAATATATTCGTTGGGAGAATAGCAGAATGCAATAGTCCCCGGTCCTTATTTCACAGAAGATGCCTGACCCTATAAATATTATTTTGCTTACCCTACACATTCATGACTATAATTAAAAGTTTGACTTAAAAATTAGGCACAGTAAGATATTAAGTTATACAACTAATAATAAAAATAGAATAAGTATAATAATATACTCTAGATCTTAACATTGACATGCACTTTTGTTTTTCTTATTGAGTTGAAAGCTTTTACCTTTTCACTCATAACACTTTGAAAAGGTGCTAGGAGCTCATACCTGTAATTCTGGCTATAGGAGGCTGAGACTTGAAGTATTGTGGTTCATAGTCAGCCTTGGCAAACAAAGGGAAGATTCTAAGTGGGACAGAGCAGAATGGAGCAAGATTTCTTCATGCTAACTCATAATGGGGCACAACTGATAAATATATGTTATTTACTTATGGAATTTTCCATTTAATATTTTCAGAGAGCAGGTGAGGGCAAGTAACTAAAATCTCCGAAGGGGAAATAGAGGCCAAGGGGAGAGTCGCAAGACAAGGAGGAGCATGTCTGGATGGTCCCCTGTAAGTGCAAGTGGCGTGTACAGGAAAGTGATGAGACGGAGATTTCAGACTTCATATCCGGCCAAGTCACTGAGAACTGAAATTAGCCCCTGAATTCTCTGTGAAAATAGTGATGCATGGGCTGAGTGGGAGTTGGTTAGTGGGTCCCCAGCTTCAAGCCGTACAAGCTGAATTAGCATTCAGTGCTATTTTTCTTTCTCCAGAGCCTTGGGTTCTAGTTCAAGTTTTTTTTGTCTCTATCTTTTCACATGTTAAAGCTTCCTTTTGTCCAAAAGAATTGAAGCAGCTCTTCATCCTATTAGGAATTTATTTTTATTTATTTATTTTTTACCAGTCCTGGGGCTTGAACTCAAGGCCTGGGCACTGTCCCTCAGCTCTTCAGCTCAAGGCTAGTGCTCTATCACTTGAGCCACAGTGCCACTTCCAGCTTTTTCTGCTGATGTGGGGCTGAGGAATCGAACCCAGGGCTCATGCATGCAAGGCAAGCGCTCTACCACTGAGCCACCTTCCCAGCCCTCAGGAATATTTTTTAAAGACAAAAGAATATAAGGTACTTTGAAGTCCTTAAAATCAGGAAGGCTTTTTCCCCCCAGTATGGAGTTAGAATTCAGGGCACTGTACTAGGAAGGCACTCTCCTACTTGAGCCACACCTCTAGCCCCTTTAGCTTTATTATTTTTCTGTTAAGGATTGCCTAACTGCAGTCCTTCCATTTATGCTTCCTATGAAGCTGAGATGACAGGCATGCACACCATACCTAGTGTTTTATTGAATTAGGAGGGTTGTTTTTTTTTGCCTAGGCTGGCCTTGAACCACAATCCTCCAGATATCGACCTTTCTGGTAGCTGTACTTTATAACTAGGAACTGCCATACCTGGCTGGCTGTTGGCATTAGGAAAACGTTAAAAACATGTTGAGGAAGCAGTTATGTTAATAATAATACGAAGAGGGTCAAATTTTATGATCCTTTGACCCACAACCTTCAATCTTCTCACTCAGCAAATATTTGAAGGGAATGTATTTGTTACTTCCTATACTCATTTTAAACCATAAGGTACTTTAAGTTGGATGTGGGGGGTGAAGGGGGGAGGAATTGTGAATTTGTGTTAACCTAGCTCTGACTGGTAAACAAATCTTAAACTAGCAGTTCCTGTTAAGTCTTCTGAAAGCCTGGACTTCAAACTCAGGTCTTGTGTCCACCCTCTGATAAGATCTTTTACAGAGATCTGACCTCTGTCCAGGTTAGTTTTCAAATCAAAAAAGCTTTGAACTTCTGGCAGGCTGGTAGCTGGACCTTGGGTGTTTACTGAAGAGCGTCCTCAAGAAGGGAGGTCGACTCCATTACCAACTCCTCCACAGCCTCCTCCCTCTGGCCAGTTTTCTCCTTGTGAGAGCTGGCATGGAGCCAGGCAAGGCCTCACAGCTTCAAGGCATGCGCTGAGAACTGTCTGTGTCTGGTACATAGCAGATACCTAGCTCAATGAAGAGTTCAAGCTGATAAAACAACGACAACAAAAAAAACCAGGTCCACAGTAAGCCAGCAGTGAGTTGTGACTCCATACTGGGTAGGCTGGCAGGCCAAAGTTGGCTCTGCTGCTTACCTTTGGCATCTTTGCCCAGTCAGACCATATTCACGAAACTGCACACAACTGGGCACCTCATATTTGCCTAAGTCATTGGCAGTCATTGGCAGGCTTCCTCCTCATTCTGAGCTAGGAAGTCACCCATGTGGCTTTTTCAGGGCAGGTCCAGGGCCTACAGCATACCTGAGCCTTACCTTCCTTTCTTCTTACACTACTACAATTATGAAACTGGAACAAATTCCACTCACATCTGTCCTGTTCTCCTCTCAACTTGCTCTGTACTCAGCCAGGCCCCATCAGCTTTCTTTTGGGGTTTCAAACATGCTGAACTTGACCCCATCTCCAGTTCTTTGCATTCCATTTTCCTAGGCCTGAAACCGCCTACAAGGATCATGGGTACCTTCTTTCATTATGCAAGTCTTACCCTTAAATTATCATCTCCTCAAAGACCTGCCCACTTCATCAAACACAAACACCACAGCCCTATGTCTAATAAATCTCCAGCATACCAATCTATTTCTTCTATAGCGTTTACTATAATATGCCATTGTCTTATTTACTTTTTTTATTTACTTGGGTTTTTTTTTGTTTTTTGTTTTTTTGGTTGTGGGGCTTGAACTCTGGGCCTGGGCACTGTCCCTAATCTTCAGCTCAAGGCTATCACTCTACCACTTGAGCCACAGCACCATTTGCGGCTTTTTCTGCTTATGTGATGCTGAGGAATGGAACCCAGGGCCTCATGCATGCCAGGCAAGCACTCCACCACTGAGCCACCTTCCCAGCCCTTATTTACTTGTTTTTGGTATTGTGATCTGTAACTGGAACCAAAGTTCTGGAAAGACACTGTACTCTGTTAGTTCACACATTTTCCCCACCCTATAAAAGAGAAAAGGCAAGGGCTGGAAAGGTGGCTCAGTGGTAGAGTGCTTGCCTTGCATGCATGAGGCCCTGGGTTCGATTCCTCAGCACCACATAAGCAGAAAAGGCTGGAAGTAGCGCTGTGGCTCAAGTGGTAGGGTGCTAGTCTTCAGCTGAAGGGACAGTGCCCAGGCCCAGAGTTCAGGCCCCACGACCAATGAGAGGGAGAGGGAGAGAGAGAGAGATAGAGAGAGAGAATGTCTTCTGTATCCAACCAGTCTTTAAATACTCAGAGAAATTGGTATTTATCACCTCATGAAATCCTAGGGCCTATAAAAATCAAGCTAGGCACCAGTGGCTCATTCCTATAATCCTAGCTATGCAAGAGGCTGAGATCTGAGGATTGTGGTTCAAAGCTAGCCCAGGCAAGGAAATCTATGAGACTCTTATCTCCAATTAGCTAGCCAAAGTAGAGCTGTGGCTCAGTGGTAGAGCACTAACTTTGAGCAAAAAGGCTCAGAGAGAATGCCCAGGTCTTGAGTTCAAGCCCCAAGATTGGCAAAAAAAAAAAAAAGAAGAAGCAGCAGCTAAGAGAAGTGGACACCTCTACACAAATCTTGCCTTAATGAATAACACAAACTACACCACTACCAATAAAAAAAAGAAAAGGACAGACAGACACACACACACACACACACATAAATCAATAAATTATAACTAATGTAAATGATCAATATCTAGATATTGAGCCAAAAAATGAGCTAAGATCAAAGTGGCTTCCTTTGCTAGCAGGCTGGGCATTTTTATCTAGCAGCATCATAGGTTGCTAAACTTCTCCAACCGGAAAAGGAGTGCAATTCCTAAACTAGCTCTAACAAGCAGAAACCAATCACAGCCTGGCCATTACAAACCCAGAGAAGCAGCATTTACAACTGGAAGGTTTATTTCCTGATACCAGGTCTGCTGGCAGCCACCAGTTCTTCTCTTGTACTGTTATGAAGCTGACCTAATAGGGCATCTATCTACACATTTAACATATGTACAACTAAATATATGAGATATGGGTTCTGACACTTCTTATTGCATTAAGTAAATGTAGTTCAAAAATCTCATGCCATAAATTCTTTTTAGTGTTTCCTTATAAGGTACTTTATGCTATAGAAGTTAGATTTCAAAATATTCTCCAATATTAGATATTGATGACATTGATCAAGAAGCATTATACTCACAACCTGACTTATGGAATAGTAACCTCTTTGTACAAATGCATAATAATAATAATAGGAAGACTTTTTAAAAAAAGCAATGATTCATTTTTATAAATGGAATAATTTTTCAGGTTGTGAATCTATGTAGTTGTATTTTGTTTTGCTTGAATTCAGGGCACATAACTGGTACCCTGCCACTTAAGCCAGGCCACTACTTCCAGCTTTTTCACTGGCTAATCAGAGATAAATGTCTCACAGATTTGTCTGCCCAGGTTGGCTTTGAATCACAATTCTCAGCCCTCAGCTTCCTGAGTAGCTAAGATTAAAGCTTGAGCTACCAGTGCCAGACTTATATGTAGTTTTAAAATAAGACTCTTTAGCTTTGAAAGGCACAAACCAAAACATTTACACTGAAAACAAGTTCATCTGTAAATGAGATTTACTTCAAAACAATACCCCAGGAGGGAAAGTAGGAAATGTAGACAAAACAGCCCAGTGCATGCATTTGATCACTGCTAAAGATAGGCTCCCCACGACTGAAAAGTATTTTGCTCAACTTTGTACAAATCTGACCTTCTTCCTACCAAAACCGCTTTTTCAAGACCTATTGACTGCACGTGTGAAAGGACAGAAGTTACCTGAAGGTGAAAGTCTCGCCTTTCCAGTCGTGGAGCGGGTTTTCTGGGATGACATCCTGGGTGAGAGGCGAGCTCTGGCGTGGGGATTTGGTGTGGGGCAGAGTGCCCATGTGGCTGGCGTTATCACACGACCTGATGGGGGGCGGGCCCTTCTTCTTCCGTGGAAGGGTGCCATGTAGAGACACGTCTTGATAGGCATCTGTGCGATGCTCAGCGGGAGGGGCCTTGCTGCTCAGAAGGTCCATGGATGAGGCCAAGGGAAACTGGTGATTCATTGGCATGTTTCGGGGAAGGCTTGCGAACTTTCCGGCAGCCATGATTCTCAATGCTAAGGGAAGAAAAGAATGAAGGACAAAGGTAAGATACTCCTGTGAGAACAGACTTCCTCCTTGCCAAGAGGAAACAGAAATAATGCCACATAATTAAAGAAAATTTTCAAGCTGGGAAGGTGGCTCAGTGGTAGAGTGCTTGGCTTGCATGCATGAGGCCCTGGGTTCGATTCCTCAGCACCACATAAGCAGAAAAAAATTCACCCAATTGACAGTGAAAGCGTAAGGGCAACAAACACATCCCGGAGTTGTGGAGAGGCACATGAGAGCCAGTCCATGGACAGAAAAGCTTGACTAAGCCAGGTGTGGGTAGTTCACCTGTAATCCTAACTACTCAGGAGGCTGAGATCTGAGGATCATGGTTGAAAGCTAGCCCAGGCAAGAATGTCCATGAGACTCTTATCTCCAATTAACCAGCAAAAAGCCCGAAGTGGAGCTCTGGCTCAAATAGTAGAGGACTATCTTTGAAGAGGTTAAGGGACAGTACCCAGGCACTGAGTTCAAGCCCCAGGACTGGCACTAAATAAATAGATATACGCATAAGAAAATCATGACTAACAAAAAAAGGAAGGAAATAATTCACTGCTTCATTCATTAACATCCCAGAAAAATGTTATAAGTGGTTGAGTAGTGCACATGTCTTCACCACTTTGCAAAGGATAAGAACAGGCAGAGATGGCTGGAATTCTTCAGCTGCTCCAACATCTCCAGTACCAGTTGGAAATACTTAAGAGTGATGGAACTGAGCTTTTCTGGCAAAGACCTGATGCTTATGTATAAATCAATGTACTCTAATGAATGAAGACAGGCCAGGGTCAGGGGTCAGAGGTGAGCTATTCTTCCAGTATCAGTGGGCTCAGCTGCAGAAGAAAGCCACTAGGGTGACAACCCCTTGTCCAATGTCCAATAGCCCCAGAGGGGTCAGGAATCCGCCTACCACCAGCAAGGTTAAGCAATCAATGCCCATGGCTGTCTGTAACATCAGGGAAGAAGAAAAAAGGAACGGGAGGCAGCAAAGCAAAGGGGATGGAGCTGAAGTAGCTGGGAAAAGAGGAACAAACACTCCCAAGTATGGGGAGTAGAAAAGGTCTCCTTGAGCAAAACCAAGGCCTCCCATTGCTCCCAAACAAACTTCAGTTCTAAACTACATCAAATTACACCAATCTCTTTCAAAACCCACACATAGAGGAAAGGAAACAGAAGAATAAGGACAATCTTCTGCAGACATAAGGCCCGGAAGCCGTCCCACGCCCACCTAGGATATCAGATTGTGGTCAGCGCATCACTGCCCGACAGCTGAGCCTGGTGCATGGCCTTCCCTTAGGGCTCAGGAGAGCCCTTGCTCCCGCCCAGCTGCCTCCATTGCTCTCACCAGCCTTCTGCAGCATTGGTCAGGGAAGTGCTCTGAGCAAAAATCACTTCATAGGCTGGGTGTCAGTGGCTCATGCCTGTAATCCTAGCTACTCAGGAGGCTGAGATTTGAAGATGATGGTTCAAAGCCAGCCTGGCCAGGAAACTCCGTAAGAGTCATTTCCAATAAACAACCAGAAAACCAGAAATGGTGCTGTGGCTCAACTGGTAGAGGCACACCTTGAGCTGAAGAGCTGAGGGACACTGCCCAGGCCCAGACCAAAAAAAAAATCACTTCATAGAAAGGAACTGGAAGCCAGGTGCTGGTGGCTTATACCTATATAATCCTAGCTACTCAGGAGACTTAGATCTGAGGGTCTCAGTTCAAAGCTAACCTGACAGCAAAGTCTGAGAGACTCTTATTGCCAATTAACCACCAAAACAAAGCTGGAGGTGGAGGTGGAGCTCAAGGAGTACCAATCTTGAATAAAAAAAAACTCAAGGACAGAGCACAGGCTCTGGGTTAAAGCCCCAGTATTAGTACAAGAAAGGAAGGAAGGAAGGGAGAGAGAAAGAGAAAGAGAGAGAGAGGGAGGGAGGGAAGGAGGGAGGGAGGGAGGGAGACATAGAAAGAGACAGAGACAGACAGAAAGGGAGGGAAGGAGGGAGAGAGAGAGGGAGGGAGGGAGGGAGGGAGGAAGGAAGGAAGGAAGGAAGGAAGGAAGGAAGGAAGGAAGGAAGGAAGGAAGGAAGAGAGAAGGGGGAGGGGAGGGAGGGAAGGAGAGAAGTAACTGGAGACTTGAGGCTTTAAGACCACCTCTAACTGAAGCGGTACTGGGATAAAGACAGTATAATGTTCACAGGACACAAACTTCCTCGTGCACAAAAGGCCACACCTATTTTACTACTTGTCCATGCAGTAGAGAGCTCATAAGTGCTGGGAAGTTTGATAGGATGACCCCTTACTCAAGGAATCTCCTCCTGACAGGTCCTCTGTTCTTTTCCAGGCCTGGTAATTTTGAAGCTTATCTGTTTCGTGTCCAACTGGGACCTCACAGAAGGCCTGGCTCACAGGGGTGGGGAACAATAGGGCTGGAAGTCTGGGTGAGGACCCCTCCTAGTTCTGCCCAGTACCTGGCACACAATCAGCACTCACTCAATGGTAATCATTGTTATTAAAAAGAGAAACCAAACTCCCAAGCCCCATTCCACCTGACCCCCAGTGACGTAAACCAACTAAGATCACACACACACACACAACTGTAAAGTGTCTCTGTTTAAGCTGTCAGCATGTATCAGCTTCACAGACAGGCTTGGGACCTCAGGGGATGCCACTGGCTCCCTGCTCCACCCCTCACACTCTATTTCCCAGAGAGTATGAAGAGCAAAGCCTTCCCTAGTCCCAGTGTCTTTGATAACCTATTTCCTCTGTACATCCAAGATCGATTTAAACTTGAAGACTGAGCTACAATGTTCTCTAGTGCCCTTGCCACAGTTAATACACACAGTTTACTCTCTAGTCACAAAAACCTTTCCTATCTTTAATTCCACAAACATTTAAGGACTTACTCCACATACAACACATAAAGAAACAAAGATAACATCCAGACCCCTAGCTATGAACTCTTAACAAGAGACAGAGACTAGAAATCAGTCATAGCAACCCTCCTGGTGGGAGGAAAAAAACAAACAAACCCAAAACTATCATTAATTTTGACAAAAGACTCCAAGAGGATCTCACAAAGGGGAACCATAAAGAAGAAAAAGTGGGGGGGGAGCTTGAGCTCAGGGAGTTGTATTCTCCTTCAGTTTTTTCCCAGTTAGGGACGGTGCTCTATCTCTAGAGCCACACCTTCAGTTCTGGCTTTCTTGATAGTTAATTGGAGATAAAGTGTCTAGGAGAGCTGAGTTGAGGTGGCTCACTCCAGTAATCCTAGCCACTCAAGAGGCTGCGATCTGAGGATCCCAGTTCAAAGTCAGCTGGTTTTGAACTGCAATCATCATATCTCAGCCTCCTGAGTCTCTGGGATTATAGGTGTGAATTACTAGCGCCCAAACGGAGGCAAAAATTTTGAGAAGCTGAAGCTTGCAGGGAAAAGCCTTTCAAGAAGATGCCATGGCCCCAGAAGCACGAAGACATGAAATGCCTCCACAGACCAAGCACACGACAAACCTCATGAAATTGAAAAGCATTTCCTGGAAGACCCAGAGCTGGGGAGAAGCTCATGAGGTCTTTCTTGATGGTTCTGCCGAAGTGTTTGAACTTGACTGTAAATGCTAAGGAAGACCTGGAAGAGAGGGACAGAATAAAGCAGGCACCAGAAAGGGGAGCAAGGAGGGCAGGCAAGAGGATGCAATGGAGGGAAAAGAGAAAAGGGAATGTCACAATGTCCCGGGCCACCCACCATCTCCTGGCTACTGCCCAGGGGAGGGTCTTGCCTGGTTTAGACAAGCCGATCACAATCTGACAAACTGCCCAAAGGGAGGAGAAAAAGATGGGGAGCAGGTAAGGGGTAACATAAAACAACAGCCCAGAGACCTGAAAACAGACAACCAACTGGTTTCTGGGTTCCTCTGCTGGCTCTCCTGAGTGGCCTCTACTTTTTCTCCTTGCTAAATAAAATCTTCGCTACCTTACTATAACTACGCTCATGGTTCCCGGTTTTATTTCTATACCGCCGGAGAACAAGAAGCCACCACGCTCATACATTACGGTCACCTATCAAGAAGTGATGAAGAATGCTGAGCTAGGGCAGTGCCCCGGGCGGGGAAAGGAAGGGCAGAGGGAAGATACACTGGCAGCTCAAGCCCTCTGCCTTGGAGGAGAGCCACAGACCTAAGAGGATGACATCATGCTGTTATCATGCCAGCTAGTGGGGGGTGGGCAGAAGGAGGGGAGCACCCAGCTTATTACTGGGGCTCCTGGGTGTGAGGTACCAAGGGACAGGCTGGACTAGGAGGAGATTAGATACTGGTAGGTATGGGTAGGAGCAAAGGCAAATGTAGACTTTTAAGTCATCAACACAAAGGGAAACTGAAACCAGAGGAGATCCAAGAGCTTTTATTATCCAAGGTGATAAGAGATCTGAGAGTATCTCTTAAATTATCAGTAATCATATAAAACCCATAAATAATATTCTCTCTCTCTTTACTTTTTATTTTTATTTTTTGCCAGTTGTGGGGCTTAAACTCTGGGTCTGGGCACTGTCCCTCAGCTCTTTAGCTCAAGGCTAACACTCTACCACTTGAGCCACAGCGCCACTTCCAGCTTTTTCTGTTTATGTGGTGCTGAGGAACCCAGGGCCTCATGCATGCGAGGCAAGCACTCTACCACTGAGCCACCTTCCCAGCCCCCACTTTTTACTCTTATGATCACCATGGATGCTATAAGCCTATTAGAACCAAAGGGGGGGGGAAGAGTTCTGAAAATACAAAATGGCTGTTCTCAACTTGGCTACATGGAAGCATGCCATGAGAAACTTTTCAAATCTTGCCACCCAAACCACCACCCAGAGCAATGAAATCAGAATGTCTGCAGATAGGGCACCAGCTGGCACCAGGGTATTGTCCAAAGTGGAACGGGGGCTGAGAAGCACTGGACCACTGACTCTCCTTAAATAGAGACAACTAAATGACAGGAGGAATATCCTTCTGTCAGTCGAAGCAGCCAATCACGTGTTGATTCAGCACACAGTTGTGGAACCAGCTCTATGTGGCTGGCCCTGGGCTAGATATGGAAGACAGCAGCAAACAAGACAGAAGTGGTCCCTCTTGTCATCTTGTTCAGGAAAACTCTGGAGGAAGTGGCCATAAGTTGTGGGTGGTTCCCGGTCCATGTTTCCATTTGGGGAGAATAAATGTTCATGCACTTGAAACATTTTCTCTGAGGGCTTTCTGTGTACTAGGGCTAAGGCTATAAGCTAGATAACGTTCTGCTCTCCCACAGCTACACTGTCGTGGGAGAGTCCAAACAACATGAACAAGAAACTAAGCCAAGTAACAGCCAAGCTGTAAATGCTCTGAAGCATAGGCTGGATGAAGTGACAGAACATTCGGCTGGGGTGAAGGGTGACATGACATTAGGGCAACCTGGAAAGCCCTTCAGAAGGGATAACAATGACACGTGACTTGTTAAAAAAAAAAGGAGAAACAAGTCAGGAAAAGATCAGAAGGGAGCACCATCCAGGCAGAGGAAGGATTGCATTCCAGCAAATGCAAAGGCCCTGAGGTAGGAACAATCTGTAAGAAAGGCAAGGTAGAAGCCGAGCACTGGAGGCTCACGCCTGTAATCTCAGCTTCTCAGGAGGTTGATAGCTGAGGATGCGATTCAAACCCAGCCCAGGCAGGAAAGTCCGTGAGACTGTTCAATAAACTACCAGAAAACCAAGTGGCACTGTGGCTCAAGTGGTAAAGTGCTAGCCTTGAGCCGAAGAGCTGAAGGACAACGGCCATGCTCAGAGTTCACCCATGACTGACGAAAGAAAGAAAGAAAGAGAGAAAGAGAGAGAGAAAGAGAGAGGGAGGGAGGGAAAGGTAAGGACAGGACAGGAAAGGCAAGGAAAGGAAAGGAAAGAGATTCTAGCTTCTGGCTCTCATGTTTTCTCCACTATAGAGATGTTTCCTTTGATGATATCAAAACTGTATATTTGCTCAGCACTGGTGGCTCACACCTATAATCCTAGCTCCTTAGGAAGCTGAAATCTGAAGATCAAGGTTCAAAGCCAGCCCAGGCAGGAAAGTATGTGAGACTCATCTCTAATTAACCACCAGAAAACCAGAAGTGGGGCTGTGGCTCTAAGTGGTAGGGTGCTAGCCTTCCTTGAGCAAAAGTGCTCAGGGACAACGCCCAGGCCCGGAGTTCAAGCCCATGACCAACAAAACAACAACAATAAACAAAACCCTAAGCCTTGGAGTCAGCTACCAGCTATTCAACACTCCATCCCTCTATGTTGCCTCCTTTACTAACGTGAGACACGTTACTTTACTGACAGATTCTCTTCTGTAAAGTGTGTAACAAGACTTACTTCATATTATTGTGAAAATTCAGTCGTGTCTATGAAACATTTAATAAACAGGGCACCTCCCATGAGCAGGGCAGGACCGAGTCTGTCTTGTTTGCTCACTGTAGCCCTTCTACAGTGGGAGATCACAAAGTCAACTGTAGCATTAACAGGTGTGAACACACCAAGCTGACAAGACACGGCCCAGCTGTGGACACAGGACACGCCAAGTAAAATACACGCAGGCTTTGAAAGAAACACACCGGTGAGACTTTGCCCATCAGACTTGACCTCTCTTTGCTGACAAAGCCCAAGGCCTGATCTTCACATACACATAAAGGTTAAAGACTCTTGCTCTAAGTATGATATTGGTGTGGATGCCAAGGCCAAGAAAAAGCCTGACAAAACTCCAGTGGGCAAGCAGCCTCCCTAAATCTGGTCAGCAGCTGCGCTTTGAAATGTTGGTAAGGAGGGCCCAACACACTTGCTTACACGGATAGATCAAAACAACTAAGCAAGTTGAGGCAGAGAGAAACGGCTCACTTGTTTGATTTTTTTCTGTTAATTCTGAAATGGGATATTTCCAAGGTAAACTCATAGAGACCCCAAGAATGTTCTATCATACTTGAAACTCTTCGTATGACCACGACAGAGAATGAACAGTTTGCATCTGTTACTCTTCCATCTTCTCTGCAGAGTCAGACTGGGAGATGGGTCAGAACAGCCCCACAAACACAGTGAGCTTATCCACTGCCAGTGAAGTTTTTCTTGGTTTAGAAACTAAGACTATCTCTTTATTTTTGAAGTAAACTTATGAAGTCTAGCCAAATGATTGAAATATGAAGAATGCTTCCACGGATTGTATTGCAAGCAAGCAACCCCACACAGGGTTCTGCAGGACCAAGTTAGCATGGTTCACCAGGGTTTTTGGTGTTTGTTTTCCTATATGAATAGGAGATTGCGATTTTGGTTAATCATCTTGGAAATGTCAGGCATCTCACCAGCAGTGTAGGAGAAGTTAGGATTTGGTGCGACTGGCAGCAAGACTCAGTGTGCCTCCCGGGACACCGGGTGTGGGGGGGGGGGCATGGAGGGACAAGCCCCTCTGCACCCCACCCTGCTCCCCTAAACCTCCTCCCCTGCTCCCCAGAGGGATGACCCACTCCCAGCTGACCTCGTGGTCGGTGTACTCTGTGTGGAGAGGTCTGTGTGGCCTTGAGAGATAAAAGTCAAGGTTTAAAAGAGCCTCGGGATGCTCGGCTCTACTTTCCGTCTGACTAAATAAAGGCTTCACAGCAAAGACAGACGCCAGGTTGGGCAAGCGGGCCCCCAACCCCCTGGCCCCTTGCTCCAAGCGGGTCACCACCAAACACCAGAGCTGTCCGGCCAACCCCAACCTGGGTCCCCGACCCGGGAACCCCCTTCCCGTAGTGTTCACCGACCCCCCCGCAACCCCCTCCCCTCCCCCCTGCGCATTCCTTCCCCACAAAGGCGGAGGGGAGACGCGGTCAGCTTTGCCAACTTCCCACGCGATCGTAGAGAAAAGCCTCCCCCGGGCCTCGCGGGGCCCCGGCCCTTGCCGGCGTGGGGTACCCGGACGGAGCCGAGGGGGAGGGCCGGCGAGCCCCAGCCCGGGAAAACGCTCGCCTCCGGAGCGCAGGGCGCCTCCCGCCGGCGCCGCGTCCCGGGGCCCGGCGTCCCGGCGTGCGGAGGGAGGGCGGGCGCGCGCGGGGTTCCCACCTCGCCCGCCCCATCTCCGGGTGTCCGGGGATCCGGAGGGCGCGCGCGGGGTCCCCACCCCGGCCGCTCCACCCCAGTCTCCCGCACGGGGTCCACCGTCCCCAGAGCCCAACTTTTCTCCGACAAACTTCCCAGCCGTTCTCACGGGCGGAGTGCGGGCGAGGGTCCGGAGGAGCGGCGCCCGGCGCGGACTCACCTCCCCGCGCGCTCCGGTCTCGGTCCCAGTCCCGGCTCACAGCCGCCCCGCGATCCGCGCCGCCCGGCCCGCACCGCCGCTGCCCCCGGCGCCGGGGCGGCTCATGGCTGGAAGGCGCGCGCCCCGGGCGCTCGCGGCGGCTGTGGCTCCGTCTGGCTCGGGTCTGGGCTCCGGCTCGGTCGGGGACTGCGCTTCAGCCCCAGCCCCGGCTCCGGCTCTGGCTCCGGCCCGCTCCCCGTCCCGCAGCTGCAGGCGCGGCTCTGGCGGACGGCGCGCGCTCGGCCCCCAGCTGGTTGGTCATCCGCCGCCCGGCGGCTCCACCCCGGCGAGCGGATTCGCGCGGCCCGGCCGATCCCCCGCGACGTGCCCAACCGTGACCCCGCCTGGCCCCCTCCGTCCGGATCTGAGGACCGGGCACTCCGCTCCGACGCCTCCTCGAGTTAGATCGCCGCCCGCCCCTCCCGCGCCGGGCCCTCCCCGCCCCTCAGCCCCGCCTGTCCCCCCCCCCATGACTTCACCTACCCGCCCCAACCCGGAGGGCTTCGGCGGGACCGCCCGCGACGCGGGGACCGCGGCCCGCGCGCTCGGAACCGCAGTGCGGGGCGGAGGTGGAAAAGTCACGTCCACGGGGAGGACTTAACCCTGCCGGGAATCACGACCTGTTTATTAATAAAGCCATAGAAACCACCAGGATCTAGGCCAAGTGAGCACTGGACGGGTCTCCACCATGTATATATATGGTCACTTGACTGATGTCAAAGTTGTCTGCGTGGCGCTTGTGAAGTCCTGACTACAAGGGAAAACAAAATCCACCTGTCCACTGAACAGTGAGTAGAACTCCTGTGCATGGAAACACGCCCCTAATGGAGAATCCAAGCCAATTAGGGAGAAAACAGAGTTGTCCTTACTGACATCCAAAAGAGGACTCCTATGCAGAATATAGAACTATACATAGGCAAGAATAAAGCAGAAAAGCCGATTAAAAATTAGAGCTGGTGGCTCACACCTGTAATCCTAACTGCTCAGGAGGCTGAGCTCTGAGGATCACTGTTCAAAGCCAGTCCAGGCAGGTAAGTTTGGGAGACTCTTTTTTTTTTTGGGGGGGGGGTCTGGTCATGGGGCCTTAACTCTGGGCCTGGGCACTGCCCCTCAGCTCTTCAGCTCAAGGCTAGCATTCTACCACTTGAGCCACAGCACCACTTCCAGCTTTTTGCTTATGTGGTGCTGAGGAATGGAACCCAGGGCCTCGGGCATGCAAGGCAAGTGCCCTACCACTGAGCCACCTTCCCAGCCCAAGTCTGGGAGACTCTTTATTTCCAATTAACCACCAGAAAAACAGAAGTAGAGCTGTGGCTCAGAGTGGTAGAGCACAGGAGCTCAGGACAGCACCCAGGCCCAGAGTTCAAACCCCAAAACTGACCCCCACAAAAAGGCAGAATAGTTCAGAAGACATTTCTCAAAACAGGATAACCAGATATTTCTAAAGAAGAAGAAGGAAGAAGGAGGAGGACGAGGAGGAGGGCTGGGAAGTTGGCTCAGTGGTAGAGCGCTTGCAAGCTTGAGCCCCTGGGTTCGCTTCCTCAGCACCACATAAGCAGAAGAAAAAAAAAAGCCGGAAATGACACTGTGGCTCAAGTGGTAGAGCGCTAACCTTGAACTGAAGAGCTGAGGCACAGCACCCAGGCCCAGAGTTCAGGCCCCACGACTGTGCCCCTCACCCCAAATAATAAAAATAAAAAAAGAAGAAGAAGAAGAAAAGGAAGATTCTAGTAGTTTCAGAAATGCTAGTTGAGATGACAATGTTATCTTACTTCATACCCACCAGAGTAGCTGAAACAAGAAAGTCCGACAATATTGCTGGTCAAAGTCTCCTTTCCTTTCCTTTCCTTTCCTTTCCTTTCCTTTCCTGTGTCCTTCCTCCTTCTCCCCTCCTCCCCTCTCCTCTCTCCTTCTCCTCTTCCTCCTCCTCCTCCTCTTCTTTTTCTTCTTCCTCTTCCTCCACAGTGGAGTCATGATGGATCTACCCACGTGTCCCCTTTGTGCAAGTGCCCTGAGCTGTATCGCATCTTAAATCACATAGCATTGACTACTAACTCAAACACACCTAAGATGTTAAAAGGGAAAATGGTGATAAACTCAAAAGGAGGGTGATGAGAGAAAAGGTCAATCAATCCACACTCACCTCCATAGATACAGGTCCACTTCTGCTAAGACCAGAAGTGAGACTAGTCTACCCACAGACCACATGATTGTTTGGCCACAACTCTGGATTTGCTGACTGGTAAAGAGCTTTTGCTAATAAAAACAAAAAAAGCCTGTAAAGTGGCACAAGGGCCTACTTTTCAGATGCACAGACACTAACACCTGGCTACAAGGATCATGAATAATCAGGGATACCTGACACCACTAAAGGAACAAATCAACCAACTTCCGGTAACTAACACAAAGAAATGGAGATTTGTGAACTGCCAGGCAGAATGTGAAATAAGCCAGGTGTGGTACTGTATACCTGTAATTCCAGTACTTCTGAGGTTGAGGCAGAAGGGTCATGAGTTCAGGGCTATTCTTAGAATTGCTGCATAGTCTTGTTCTATAACAAGACCTTTGTCTTGAAGTATTAAATAAATATTTTGTTGTTGTTGTTTGGGGTTTTGTCAGAATTGAGGTTTGAACCCACACTCTCATGCTTGCTACACAAGCACTCTAGCACCTGAGCCATGTCCCTAATTAAACAAACAAATAGATTACATAAAAATGCTAAACACTCAGCACATTCTTAAAGAGGTTTGGTGAGTACAAATATCATTTAGATAGACAACTAAATGAAACCAGGAAAACAATACATGAACGAAATTAGTTCAACCAAGCGAAATCTTTAAAAATAACCAAACGATTATAAAGAGTACAACAGCTGAGCTTCAAAGTTCCATAGACAGCTCTACAGCAGACTCAAGAAAAAGAAAAAAGCACCACACCAGTGGCTCACGCCTGTAATCCTAGCTACTCAGGAGGCTGAGATCCTGAGGATTTCAGTTCAAAGCCAGCCCAGGCAGGAAAGTCCATGAGACTCTTATTTGCAATAAACCAGGTCTTATCCAAACTCTATCTTGGCATTCCAAGTTTCACTCTAAATAGGTAACGTGTCATGAGGAATTTTCAAAGTCAGCAACAATTTTGCCTGGAAAGCCGTATTCTACACAATTGTTAGTATAAGCCATACCTACTTCCAAGTAAATTAGATATGAACAGAGCTCTCAATCCATGGCTGCTCAGCCAGGCCTGCCTTCACATCAGACTACTCTAGGCCATCTAACTCATCAGACAAATTCAGAGGCTTGGCCGCTTCTCATTTCTGATCTCATATCCCCAGTCCTGTATAGTATCTTTTATAAAGTAAGAGTTTGGTAAATCTAATGTTAACTTTGCTTTCCTATGTATCTTTTTCCAATTGCCCTCTAAACACCTGCAATATTTCTTTTTTTAATTAGATAGGGCTGGCTTTGAATTGAGATCCTCAGATCTCAGCCTCCTAAGTAGCTAGGATTACAGGCTGAGCCACTGGAATCCGGCTACAAGTACATTTCTTTTTGGACAACGTCACCCTTAATATTTCTTTTGAATCTCCTACAATAGCACTATGCACACCCTCAATAAATATTCAGTTTAAAAAATGAGCTGGGCACCAATGGCTCATGCCTATAATTCTAGCTACTCAGGGACAACACCCAGACCCTGAGATCAAGCCCCAGGACTGGCCAAAAAAAAAAGAAAAAGAAATAGCCAGGTCACTGGTGGCTCATGTCTATAATCCTAGTTACTCAGGAGGCTGACATTTGAGGATCATGGTTTGGAGCCAGCCCCAACAGGAAAGTCTATGAGACTCATATCCAATTAACCACAAAAAGCCAGAAGTGGAGCTGTGGCTCAAGTATAGAGTCCTACCTGTGGGAGCAAAAAAAGCCAAGAGACAGTATACAGGCCCTTAAACCCCAGCATACACACACACACACACACACACACACACACACACACACACACACACACACACACACACACACCCAGGCACGCACGCACCCACGCACGCACGCACCGAAGAGTATACAATTTGGTAATTTTGGTTAAGTGATGCCTTAGGGTTTGTGCCAATTTGCACACAACAGCAATTTAAGAAAGCATCTATTTTCCTGCAGCTTGATCAAAACACATTTTGATCAAGCTGCAGGCTTGAGGCTGCTTACATTTTCATGTTTAGTAGCCTTTGTCTTTTTTTTTTAAGTTCCCATTTCAATGTTTCTATCTATTTGTTTTGGTTATTAATTTTTGAGAATCTCTTTCCATATGAAAAAGCTTAGTTTTTTTTTTTTTTGGTCAGTTGTGGGGTCTGGACTCGGCCTGGGCACTGTCCCTCAGCTCTTCAGCTCAAGGCTAGCTCTCTACCACTTGAGCCACAGCACCACTTCTGATAATTTCTGCTTATGTGGTACTGAGGAATAGAACCCAGGACCTCATGCATGCAAGGCAAGCACTCTACCACTAAGCCACCTTCCCAGTCCCAAAGCTTAGCTTTTTGTGCTACAAGCTGTAAATAGTTTTCCAGTGGTGATATGTTAGAAAAGAGGTGGTGTGTGAGAGTTCTGGTATTTTAGGAAGTTCATCCTGCTAGTAAATAGGAAAATAGGAGACAAGCTGTGGACCTGACTAGCCTGGCTGTATTATCACGTGGCAGGGAGCTTCCACTAGGAAGCAGTAGGAATGGAAGGGAAAGACCAGGGGTATAGCCAAGAAGCAATTGGCCAGAATTAGTAATTAGCACCGATAACAATTATAGTCACAATCGGCTTATGATGGCTTGGGGAGTATGCCAAGTGCTATACAAACTTTGAGCCCTAAGCTGGTCCTATGACAGCCTCATTGCACAGAGAAAGGGGAGTTTTAAAGCAACTTCCTCTAACTCATAGCAGAGGATAGTAGCAGAACAAGGCTAATCCCAGGCCTGTCTGACCCCAGCTGTGTGGCAGTGGCATGACCAGAAATGATGGACGGCCTGTCTTGATGGCAGACATGAC